GGTATCGGGCACATATATATATATGTATATATATGTATGTATATATATATATATGTATATATATATATTTATAGAAATTAATTTTGTATAATATTTATATATATATATATATTTCTCTTTTTTCTTCTCTTCTGTCTCTGCGAATTGATAAGATTATTCTTTAGACTAATAATGATCATAGGTTTATATAATAAGAAATTCGTCTGATTAACAAATAAAAATAAAAATAAAACTAAGATTAAAGATAAGAAAATTATATGATTAGATTCTGAAAAAATATTTTCTTTGATTTTTAGGCAATTTTTTTCTGAAAAGATTTTTGAAAAAAATTGAATATTTCGTAAGAAATAAATGATTTTGAATCGAGAATTGAATTTTTCTTAAGAAAAAACTAGGAAAATTAGAAAAAATTAAAATATTTTTTGATAAATTATATGATTAGATTCCAATAAAAATTGACTATCTCTAAGAAAAAATATATTTCTAATATGAATATGATTTTTTTGCCAAGAAAAAATTGAGATGAAAAAATTGATTAATTTCTTAAGAAGAAATTCGAAAAGATAATTTGAGAAATGAATTGTATTGAATTGAAAGATATAGTCGATAGATTCTGAAGATTACTAATATGAGATATAGTTCGAGAATATCAAGCTTATGAATAAAATCTATCTTGGAATTATATTTAAATTAATTAGCAAGATTATTAAATAAATCCTATATCTATTTTTTCGGCGAAACAGATAGATTGATATAATTTATCTTTATTTCGATATCGGAAATAAAAAGGAAAAATACAGAATATGTTTCAATAAAAAAATATTTTGATCAAAGTGATCTAAGATATGATGCTATAAACGAATAAAAATAGAAGATTATTATCTCTATTAAAATGAATATAAGACTTAGATATAAGATCTAATAAAAATAGAAATGGAAATGGACTGCCACAACAGAACCCATGGTGGAGGCAACGCTGCACCAGGACGTTCTATTGCGCATATTGTACGATACCTCAAGGGGCACCTTATAAATCGTGACAACATGTGGACTATTTTGCTTCACTACTCACGGGTAGTTTGCCTTGGGGTTTGGTGGGATAGGCCAAGGCACACACATAACCCTCGTTGATCAGCACAGCTTCTTGTCAGGTGCCAGGTACGGCTGTGTTTTCAGGCGAAGCTGCTGAAATTTGCGCTCTGCTTTCTTCTCTTGTGTGCTTGCCATGTTCGACATCCCGGTCAAGCCAGTGCGATCTATGCCGTACCCGGTGGGCGGCCGGCCCCGCCCTCAAGAAGTTCTTCCGCCGTGTCCAGGCTCGGGGACTTCACCGTTGCCCAGGCCGGTGTATCGTTCACTCTCTGTGCTGCGTGTTGTCGTCGCACACGCCGAGGGTCAGGATCAGGATGGTGGCTTGTGCAGCAGAGCTTTGGAGAAGACGGGCTCCTCTACACAGCCCACGTGTAATGCGATGCTCCGCCCCGGCTCCGGTCTTGGCGGTTTCTCCTTGCGCGCGCTCGAGGATGATGCCCGTTTAAAGTGGGCTGGCGTGTGGGTTGACCTTGCGTTGTGTGTGGCCAAAGAAAGCTCAGTGCTGTGTGAACTTCAGGATCGTAACCGAGACCATTTGCTCTTCTTGTTTTCAGACCGCTCTGCAGGTACCCTGCGTAAGCATTTGCCAGGCTGGAGATTATGGTTGGCCTTCTGTCAAGGGGCACATTTGGCCCCGGCGAACGTCAGCCTGGCATCTCTCTTGGACTTCTTGGACGCGCTGGCCACAGGAGCTAAGCTGGATCGTGGCAAGGGTCGCTGTGGCAGAGCCAAAGGTGTTGTTCAAGCCCTGCGGTTTGTGGCGCGCAAGTTGGGGCTGGAATCCCTTCAGAAGACCCTCGGCTCTGCCCCGGTGGTATCCTGGTTGGCCTGCAGCAAGTGGACAGCCTCGACAGTAAGGGAAGCGCTTCCTTTGCCTTTGTTTGCGGTGATCCAACTTGAGCAAGCATTGTCTTCTTGCGAGCCCGGTGATTGGTGGCCAATATTGTGCTTTCTGCTCATGCTTTGGGCGGGTCTCAGATGGAGTGACGCGCAGCGCTTAGATTTCGAGTCAGTGATTTTGGATGGTGGCAGTGTTCGCGGTTGGTGCTGGCGGACAAAGACAAGTGCCACTGGCATGCCGTGGGGCGCCATGTGCAGTGGGGCCTGCGGATCCGAGTGGGGTCGCTTGCTGGCGCGGGAAATCGTTCGTCTGCGAGAAGAAGACAGCAAGCGTGATTTCCTACTCCGTCATCTGTCGAAACCTGCTGGCTACGCGGCAGTGGTTGCCACATTCCGGCGGTGCTTGGTCTGTTATACAGAGTTGGATGCAGCGACGGCCATGCGCTACACCCTGCACTCGCTCAAAGTTACAACCCTCTGTTGGGCTGGCCAGCTCAGCGTGGATGATGAGAAGAAAGCAGCGCAGGGTCACCATCGCGCTCGCACTGTCACCAAATCAGTTGAAAAGTACAGGCGTGACGATGTACTACCGCAGTTAGCTTGCCAAGAGATCATCCTCAAGGCGATCCGCAAGGGTTGGGTACCTTTGGTCCCTGCGCAGCGCGGTGTCAGGCGGCTAGCGCTGGGTCCAGATCATAACCCGGTTGCTCCGGCACGAGACGATGATGCCCCCACTGAGGATGAGAGTGCGTCCTCTGGCAATGAGTCGCCGGAGGCAGCGTTGGGCGAAGTGGATGATGCAAGCACCTGTGCTAGCGACGATGTGGCCATGCCGGACAGCGATGATGAGCCCGCGGAGTTGGCGCCTTTTGAAGGCCCCTGGATTATCAACGTTGTCTCAGGATGGTATCACAAGGCTGTTTGTCTGGATTCCGATGCGCCGCCAGACCACGGCGTGCTTTGGGAAGGCAAGCGCTGGGGACGCGTCTGCCGACCTCAAGCTCGATGCCAGTCGGTATACGAGGTGGCGATAGAGAACCCGTTCTTCAGGGGCTACAGCGCTTGCCGGCACGCTGGCTGCTTTGGACAGTGAACAGTACGCCCCAAGTGGCGCCTTGTGCGGTGTTACGCTTTGATAAGCGCTGGTGTAGCCATGCGGCTTGCGTCCGGTATGACGCGGTGTGTTGGGCCGATGCCCTGCTTTGTTTCTGGTGGCCCCGCCCCAGTGAATGGGTCGCGGTGGATCCGGGCTGATGCCCTGTGTAGCTTCCTTGAGTGGAATGCGTTGTGGTTGTGTGTGTGCATGTTTGCTGCGTCTTGACTGATGTCACTTGTGGGCATGGCCCCAATGTGAGCCTTCGGATCCGATTGATCCCCTGTATGATTGTCTTGCTTCTTTGGTATTGTTTGCCTGCGGCCACTTCACTGGCAATGCCGTCCCCTTCATGGCGTGAGTACATGGTATCAGCAGGGTTGCCACAAAAGATGGCAGATGCCATCATTGCGCTGGGCTATGATTCACAGGACGTCTTCCGCTCCGCCTTTGTCGACAAGAACGCCTTTGAGACTTGGCTGTGCAAATCTCGCGACAAGCTCGGTGACGAAGCCAGCGGGGTCGATGCCGGCGATTGGACTACATGCCCATTGGCGGCCAAGCTGCGCCTTTTCCTGAGTGGCTTGTAGCCACCAACTCCGGTGGGGGCACCCGCGGTCACCCCTAGCAAGGAGTCCTCTTTGGCGCTCTTACCATTTGCGTCATCGCAGTCAAAGGTTTCGGCCAATGAGCGAGATGCTTGGCGCCGGCAGATCGAGAAAGACTATCCATCAGCAGTGATCACGCCGGAGACTCTGCCATCGCTGGGCTTCTTACAGCTGGTGCGCCAGCAGTGTGCGGGCAGCCAATGGGAGTGGATTGCCTGGAAGCGCGTGTTGAGTGAGGAGCAGGTGCTTGAAGTTCGAGGCCGCAAGAACTCGTCGGGTTATGGGGAGTTCCTCGACTTATTCGCTGTCGCTGCGGGCATTCAGCATGAAGAGTGGGACATGGACCTTGGTGCTTCCGCCCTGCGCGTTCAAAATCTTCTTGACACTCGGGCGCATGCCTACGTCATGTGCGGTTCTGGCCACCTTCACCCCTGGTCTGTGTACACGAAGCGTTTCATACACTTCTACACGAAGAAGCCAGGGGAGCACTTCCGCCCCCCGTCTATCCAAGAGGCAGAAGCTGCAGACCGTGCGGTCATGAATGAAGTGTTCCAGCTCGTCTTTGCAGGGAACAAGTTGGACGACGCGCTTCATCATGTGGTGGTCGAGCGTGACATGCTGCGTTTGTTGCTGATTGAGCGTCCCAAAGTGCCGAAAGTCACTTGGCAACGCCCAGATATCAAACGACCCAGCGGGACATGGAAGCGCGAAGGTGGGGCTGGTGCCAGCGCCGGTTTGAAGCGCCGCCGTGCGGGTGAGTGCTGGGCCTGGGTCGATGGGCGTTGCAAGGATCGGAACTGCTCTTACAAGCATGCGTGTGCAATCTGTGGTTCGCCAGATCACCATTCTGAGCAGTGCGATGGCAAGTCCGACCCCAAGAGGCGGGCGCGTGTGCAGTGATCTGCCAACGTGTTAGCTGAGCCACGTGTGATAGCAGTACCTGTGGTTGCGGATGAGAGTAGCGGTGTCTGTGACTCTGCTGCGAAGGCCTCGGTGCCATGTGGTCAGGATTGGCTCCTTGAGTGCAACCCAGGAGACCTGGGCCCCTCTGAGGAATTCGAGAGCAATCCTTCAGATGCTCCAACAGCATGCGCTGGTTTCCGTCTCCGGGACGGAGGCGGCCTTCACTCTGATGCTGACTGGTGGGAACCCCGCTGTGCAGATATTTTGGGTGACCTTCGTCGGTGTTGGCTTGGGCGCATCGACAGTTGGGGTCTAGTCCCTCGTGTGCTTCAGGCGTTGCGTAGTCCGAGTGATGATTCGTGGTTGGATGACAGTGAGATTCAGGTCCTGCGTGAGGATGTGCTATCTTTCTTGAAAAACCATGGTTATCATTCCTCTGCGTGTGTTACGCCTGGACAGCCCCTGACACTTGATTTTTGGCGCGACTTGTTTGCCATGACAGGCGACATTGACACTAGCCTAATTCCACTACTTCGCGAGGGCATTCCCACAGGCATCAATGAGACGATCCCAGCTTCGGGCGTGTGGCGTGAAGTGGATGTCCCATCCAGACCTAACCTGGAGCTGTTGGTTCACAACTCCCCATGGGGAACAGCGTTGGAGGATCCGGAAACGTTGATGGAGCTTGTGCAGAGAGATGTGGACAGTGGCTTTGCAGAGTGGGTGGAAGGTGGCCGCGAAGAGGTCATCGTTCGCTTCGGACGCAATTGCGCGGCAGGGCGCCTGGGCCTCGTGAAGAAAGATGGATGTGAACCACGTTTGGTTGGGGACAGCACCGTGTCGAATGCTAATCGCTTGTGTCGCATCTCGGAAAGGATTGAGCTGCCGGGCTTGGCGGACGTGATCCAGTTCATGTCCCGCCACCGGCAGCAGCGCTGGGTTGCATTCTCCTTAGACGTCAAGAAAACGCACAAGCGCGTGAAGGTGGCGCCCTCCGAGCAGGGCTTCTCAGTGTTCACTGCAGTGGATCCCCAGGGCCGCACACATTGGTTGGTTTATTTGACTTGTCATTTCGGAGGTGCGTGGAGTGCGTACTGGTGGTCTCGCGTGGCGGCTGGGTTCGTTCGGCTTTGCCACATTCTGTTGCACAACTCTCATTTTCTGTCCATGTATGTTGACGACGAGCTCTCCTTGTTCCCAGCGGCGTCAGCCACGTTGATGGCATGCGTTGAGGTTATGCTAGCCTGCAGCCTCGGCATCCCGCTGTCATGGAAGAAGATGTCCCTGGGCACCAAGCTGAAGTGGATTGGCTGGTCACTACAGTTCGATGGTCAGCCGTGCGCTACACTTTCGGAAGACAAAGTCTTGCGGCTAGAGGCAGGGCTGAGAGCCGTCACGCAGAGGCGGTGGGTGCGGCGGCGTGAGCTCGAGTCACTGGTTGGTCTGTTGTCGTGGTATACTTGTGGTGCCCGTTGGTTAAAGCCGTGGATGGCGATGTGGTTCCATATGCTGTTGAAACCAGCCATGCACTTCTACAACCTTGACGGAGAGCAGTTATGGGAACTCCAGCGTCTGCTCGACGCGGATCTGCGGGTGACGCGCTGTGCCACTCTTTCCGATGTACAAACTGGGTGGCGCTTAGCGGAATGCGGCGGCAAGGTGGTCCAGGAGTCGTCCGACCTGAGCAGATGTCGGACCAAACATGGCCGCGCGTGGGTTAAGCTGTTGGACAGCGCGTCCGCCCAAGTGCGGCCATCTAAGGATGAGGCTTGTGTAGCTGCTTTCTTCCTGCAGCTGATTTTGGGGCGAGCGTCAGTGCATTTAGTCGAGACCCCAGCGACACAGTGTGTGGCGGCGGCAGATGCCTTTGCCAACTCGACCGGTGCAGGCATCGGTGGGTGGTGGATGCCGAACGACGCGCAGCTGGCAGCGTCTTCCATTTGCTGGTTCTCCATATCTTTGGATAAGTCATCCCTGCCCGAGTGGTTCGTGCCGAAGGGTGCAGGGTTGTAGGATGTCATTAGCTCTCTGGAGGCCCTCGCTCAGCTAGTGTTGCTGGTTCTACAGTGACAGGATCCCGAGTCTCGTATTCGCTCGCCCAACGTGGGTTGCTTGGCGGTTCGACAGAGGTGTGATAACCTGGGCGTCGTGGGCGCGTGTGAAAAGGGTCTCTCCATGAAGCAACCTTTGGCTTCGGTGCTTCAAGCCACGGCCCTCTTCTGTATGAAAGAGCGCCTTAATCTGTGTGTGAGCCATCTAGCCGGAGTTCGGAATGAGTGGGCTGACACACTCTCGCGCGGAAGCGCCAAGGACCCAGCGTTCTGGGCACAGCTGGATCCAGCGAAAAGGCGATCGTTGGATTGGAGAGCGGTGCTAGATACAGGTCGTCCGGAGGCGCTAGCGCGTGCTGTTTAAGCTCGAAGTGATGCCTCCAAGAATGGCTCCTGTCCTTAGCCTTTGACATCAGTGTGGTGCCTTGGTTGTATGTGTGCGTGTGTTTTGACATTCAGGCTGGATTCCCAGGAAGACGTGTCATTCGCGCTGGTGCTTGGGGTGGTTGGGTGCTCATGGCAGGGTTTTGGCTGCGGCTGTGCTTTGGGCTTTGACCTGTGCGAGCCTTTGTAAGGCTCGAACTAGAGTTTGTGCAGCCAAAACACCTGCTTCCCACTACCTGATCAGTTGAGGGTTGGGTAGTTTGCCTTGGGGTTTGGTGGGATAGGCCAAGGCACACACGTAACCCTCGTTGATCAGCACAGCTTCTTGTCAGGTGCCAGGTACGGCTGTGTTTTCAGGCGAAGCTGCTGAAATTTGCCCGCCCGCCCGCCCCTGATGGGTGGCAGATATTCGTCATGTGGAGCGAGTGTGCTCCAAGTCGGTGCGCGCCCAGTGGCGCGGGAGGCTTTGACCTTTGACCTGTGCGAGCCATTGGGGCTTTGACCTGTGCGAGCGATTGGGGCTCGGGCTGGATTTGTGCAGCCAAAACACCTGCTTCCCACTGCCTGATCAGTTGAGGGTTCCTTATGTCCCAGCTACACAACATGCATTGCTGCAAGTTGGTGTCTCGAGCTCAGCCGAGCATTGTGTGACTGTGCCAGATAGAACACCAAAGCTACAAGTTGCTACAAGGGTGCATCTTGCGTGTGCTCGCCGAAGCTGTGTGCAAAGTTTTCTGTGCGATCTAACGGGCACTTGGACCAGCCGAGTTTTGGTGGCTTGTGTTGCTCCCATGCTTCTCCTTCGCACTTTTGCGGGATGCGTCCTCGCCAACCAGCTGGTGCGACCGTCAGGCCAGACAATCTGTGCTACGTTCATGTCTTGTTTCTTGCAACAGGTGCTGAGCAAGGCAGCGCGGGCAACTGTCCGCATTCTGGCAGAGGGTCATCCTGCGAGTTCCGGTTTGCTCGAAGTCCAGACCAGCTCTGGGTCCTTTGGGTCGGTGTGTGGGATGAATGCCGAAGCAGCAAGTGTGGCGTGCAGGCAGTTAGGCTTTGATTTCGGTGTGCTAAGTCCTTCCCCGTGTGGCCAGTACGGAGGTGGGAGCTGGTGTGGTGCGGCAGGGTCGCCTGTTGCCGTGAAGAGCTTGAAATGCTCGGGGACAGAGATCAGTGTTGATGAGTGCAGCTCAGAACCAGTCGACGACACATGCATGAGTCACGGCAGTGATGCTGTGGTGTTCTGTGGTGCAAGCTCTGTGGAAGCGTTTCCTGACGGCGAGCTCCGGCTGATTGGGCCAGCTGGTGCGCCAGCCCTTCCCGGCGAAGCTGGCCG